CAGACAGAGACAGACAGACAGAGACAGACAGACAGAGACAGACAGACAGAGACAGACAGACAGAGACAGACAGACAGACAGACAGACAGACAGACACAGACAGACACAGACAGACACAGACAGACAGACAGACAGACAGACAGACAGACAGACAGACAGACAGACAGACAGACAGACCGACCTGCCTACCTACATACATACATACATACATACATACATACATACATACACACACACATACTCACATACATACATGTGGACCTGATGCAGTGACAGCGCAGCTACTACGCACAACACCTCCACTTGCAGTACAGGCACTCCTCAAGCTCTTCCAAGAGATGGAGGCACAGGCCACACTCCCAACCCAGCAGCAAATGCATATGGTAGTAATGCTACCAAAGAACAGCGCCAAAGAAAGACCCATCACCTTGACATCCATGCTCTATCGAGTTTGGTGCCGCCTCCGAAAACCCTTGCTCGACAGATGGCAGCAACAACTCCCAGCTACCATGAACCATGACAGAGCAAGACCGGGTGCACAAGTCCTGCAAGTATCCCTAGAGAGACTCCTCCGCCAAGAAGTGCATAGAGCAAATGGTCAACACGGAGTGACGTGTCTCATGGACATGTCCACGTTCTACGACACCATCAACTTGACCAGGCTCCAAACAGAAGCAATCCAGCTCCAATACCCACCATTGCTTCTGGAAATGGCCATGCAGGTCTACACGGGACCAAAGGCAATTGTAGCTGAGCAAGAGATGACACCCTTTTTCAAGGTCCAAAATGGTGTCCCCGCTGGATGCCCACAGGCACCCCTACTGTGTTAGCTCCAGCCCTACAACCATGACAAGAATCTCATCCCGCGATCTTCCTCTCCAGCTGGGTGGATGATGTTGGCTTTGACACAGCAGGCACATCGCCGATGAAAGTGGCCAAAGCGGCTGTTGAAGCCTACCGAGATCTGCACCGACGGTTGGTTGAACTTGGGTTGCAAGTAAATCCAAAGAAGACAGCTTTCATAGCCACCGACAAGGCCACTGATCGTGAGCTCAAGGCGATGCTGCAAGAAAATGAACCACCAGTTGAATCGGTCATGAGGGACCTAGGAATCGACCATCAGGCAGCAAGGAGGAGAAGAATCCCGGTCATGAAACAAAGGCTCCTGAAGGCCAAAAACCGGAAGATCAAATTGAGAGCATTGAAGATACCAGCTCTCAAAGTGAGATTACGATTACACCGAGGAGGCATACAGCCGGTGGCGCTATGGGGCATTGAAAGCCAAGGACTAGCCCTACAGAGCCGCTCTACGGCAAGCCATGGCAAAGCACTTAGGCCATCACAGCGGAGGCCTCCTTGACATCACGTATGACATCCACAGCAAGCGCTACATCGATCCTGGTGACCAGATCATCATCCACCGCATCAAGGCCATCCATCAACTAGTACAAGCATGGCCCACAGAACAACTACCATCCCTTGAGCAAGCGTGGACGGCCACCTTCCAGCAGCTTCAAACCAAGCAACACCCATGGTACACTGTCCGAGGCCCCATCGCAGCCACCATAGTGTACCTACAAGAATGGGGACGGCAGGCTTCAGAGCTCATGAGATAGACCAGGCCGGAGTCACAGCTCCTGCTGCCAGGGAGATCACACTCCAAAGCCCCTGGTGGAAGATCGAAAGCGCTCTCACAAACGAAGCCAAACAGCAATGGATCTACAGACTGGCAAGCAAAAAGCACCACCAAGACCTGATCACAGGCCTTGACTGGCACACCTACCATCAGGTGAAAAAAACCCTGAAGCCACAGCACAAGCATCATCTCGACACATGGGTGCAGGCGGCAGTTCCGCGAAGATCACCAGCCTAAGGACTGTCCAATCTGCCATGTACCAGCCACACCAAAGCACATTCTGTGGCTCTGTCGATGGCACCGCAACAAACAGCATGACCCGATGCCCCCAGAATGGATGGACAGACTCACATGCCAGGATGAAGAACCGCTTTGGGCCCACGGCTGGATTCCACTCAAACCACACAAGCATCGAGAACAACAGCATCCTTACCAAGGACATGGCTGTTGGGCTGCCCTTGAAGTCCTACCACTACAACAACACACTGGCTGGGCTTTCACCCTCGACGCCACACCTTCCTCCTATGACAGTCGAAGTCAGATGTGGATCTTCGGGTTGTGCGCGCACACCATGTCCGTGGGACAGCTACGGAGGCTTGGAGCCATCACAGGTGTTGCACCTGGAGCCCAAACAAAAGTACGTGCACTCCTATGAAACCACGGGTTACCTGAAATGCACCAAATGTGGAGTCAACATCCACAAACGGGTGAACGAAGCAGCCTTCACTGAGTTCATCCATGGCCACTGTGTGAACCAGGAATTCACTGCCCAGCATGAAGGTCATCCAACCCACACACTATGGCAGACAGGAGAACGAGTGAAGGGAGGCAGTGGCATCTTGACAGCAGCCAGAGGATCATAGCCACCCGGGCATTTCACAAACCCTGCAAGGGTGCAGCCACCAAAGGCTCTCCGCCACTCAGCGAGTTCTTCAAAAAGAAGGACACTCCCATAAGCGCCAGGCAAGAACTGACCTCCAGCCACACGGAAGAGGCCTCCATCCGGCCGACACCCAGAAGGCTCCACTTCAATACAGAGCTCAACGACCATGAGGCACTTGAGACACCACAATCAGCACCTTTGGCCATGAACCCCAGCCAAATCGCTGATGACCAGCCAACGGCAAATGGTGATGACGCTCACGCCACTCAACGATGAAAACTTCATCAACGTGGACTTCTTTTGAGGATGGCGACAGGCCAATAGAACATACAGCCACAACGGCAACGAGCCAGCAACTCTAGGAAAAGAAAAATACATACATACATACATACGTACATACATACGTACATACATACACACATACATACGTACATACATACATAGCGTACATACATACATACATAGATAGACAGACCCTTTTTAAGGGGTGTCAAGCATCACTTCCGGAATGAGGAATGGAACATCATCAAATCGAAAAGTGCCGTGTGCCAAAATTTGAAGATGCCTTTGTAATCCTTTGCACCACTTTCATTGTTTGCTGCAGGCTCAAGAAATGGGTTAGATATCATGAGGCAGCCATTTAGAAATGTTGATGTGGCCGCCACAATGTGGCCTTCAAGAAGGCTGCTGATCCGAAGGAGTCGTCACAAATGTTCCGCGTTCTAATGTTGTAGCCTGGAGAACTCGATGGGACTAACACGATGGATCACGATGGACTTCAGAACCAAGAATCTGTGGGAAACAAGCAGCAAAGAGAGATGTGAAACATATGTTTTTCAGAAACCACTAACACAAAGACATCGGTTGGGATTTCTGCAGTCAAGCCTTCGAGCAGACGTTCCTCAGCCAAGCTTTCGAGCATGGCATGGATCATTTGGGCTGAAAACTTAGAGTCGACGTACGTTGAGTTCTCAGTTCACTTGCAGAGTATGATAATGAATGAGGGGACTTGCAGCTGTTCGTTTTTTGGATTAGGATAGACCTCCAACTGCTAGGAAGGGAGGCATCCCAATTTGAAGAAAATTTTAGTATATAAATCCATCCATTTACAAGACCACTTGACTGTGGGTGACCACTCGCCTGGTGCAGAAATTGGTGCTTCAAACGCAGCACCTATCTCCTGCAACTCTCAGCTCGAAGGGGCCTAATGGGTCCGACATGTCAACCTCGCAAATCTGACATCGGTCAAGGAGCAGAGTGCGATCGACCGCAGAGTGTTCGCCAAGATGATCTACCAGCACATATCGACCATTCTCTACCACAAGAATTTCATGCTTTGATCTCTCATGCAACTGATCATCTTTTCTGTGAACGGGAAAAACCATGCAATGGACCGGCTTCACACCTTGCCATCGTGCAAAGGAAACATCCCCACCCTGGGTGCTGGTGAGCTGATCAAAAAGCCCACGGTGTTTGCCGTGTCTTCGGACGTCCATCGCCATGGGGGACGGGGCTTCGGAGATGCTGCTCGAAGCCTTGCGCGCGTTCTTGCGGCGACGCCTGAGGTGGGACTCTGAACGGGACATGCGAACCGACCCCCAGACGAAGCGAATTTGAACGTCCAAGAACAGCTGGTCCACCCTGCGCATTGGTCTAAGACCCTGCCCGTCCTGTCCTTGTCCCTCCTTCCCGCTGATCGGAGGCGTCGCTTGTGCAAGGGAAGTACGTGGACTGGTGGGACGTTGGGGTTCATTGTGGCGGATTGCGCCTTCAGCTCCGCTGCTGGGCGCTGATCGATTGGGCTCCGATCGACGAGGGCTTAGGCCCCATGAACAAGAAATCAGCGCGGGGGCTCTTGGTTTTGGTGGTGCTCTTGTAGGAAGTATATGGACATATCAGGGCAGTGGGGGGAACAAAAGGAGGCGAGGAACAAGGAGTTTATGGCGGTGTTCATTAAATTTAGATAAATTTAGTATTGACAGCATGGTGCTAGCATTATTTTTGGTTTGGCCATTTTTGTGTCGAGGAGCTCCCTCAATCCTTGGGGACATTGGGTGAGAGAAGAAGGGGTAGCATCGCACGTCAACGAACTAGGTGCGGAAAATGCAGAACTAGGTGGGAACATGTAGTTCTGAACAAATCAACAAATATTGCCCCAAGATAAGTTTAGAGGGAATGTGAGATCAACCTTACTGGCGATAGTCAGAGGCTCCAGGGTGTTTGCGTGTTTGACTCTACAAGGTTGTTTGACTGTACAAGGTTACAAGGAAAAAGGAAGGACCAGATAGCGGCATCAAGGAAGGCCTCTAATGGAGAGGACACCAGGCAGGTTGAGGACTACACTGAATTGAGGAGACAAAGCGAGCACAGAGATGCATGCTGGCCACACACGACGCTTTCCGCTTTCGCAAGTTGGGCTGGTCGGACGGCGTTCACTTTCGCCAGTCGGAAGGCGCCAGGCATTCACTAATCTTCAATGAACTTTGAAAGAAAGGCTGATCTGGTTTTGTAATCTAAGATCCTTAGTAAAACGATGGCTGTTTGGTTCAAATAAGACTTAAAACAATGGTTGCTGGATGTTGCAGGGTTCAGGCCCAGGCCATCGAACGTGGCCGATGTGAGTCTGAGCACTGAGGAGCCATATGCCTGGATGGTTCATGCTTTAGCTTCTTTCTTGGACGACGCCCCAAGCACGCCCAAGTGCCCGCGCATGGGGAATTGGATTTCTCAGGCCGGGTAGTATTGTTTAAGGAAAATCAGAGCACGTTTGAGATGTCTTTAGCTACGCAAAGCTGTATATGATGTGTCTCTATAGCATACCTGAACATATATATATATATACCACACCTGGATCTTCAAACGGCACAAGGTTTTTTCCCAGAGGCATTTCAAGTGAAAAGACACCGCAAATCAAAACCCTTGCCGTTTTAGGGGTAGAAAAAACATGTGCTCAAGATCCATGGGGAAGGATGCCGTTTGGACTAAAGACCGCCGTTTGGAAGCCTGAGGCCCGCCGGTTTCTTTTTGGTTTCTGCCAGTATCCGCCTGGTCACAACAAAAGTCACCGTCTTTGCTAAAAGATGCGGTGACGGCAGTTTTTCTTGAAAAGGCAATTACTTGTGCCGTTTCGAAGACCTGGTATATAAATCTAAATATATATTATTGTAACTGTGTGGCTGACAAGGGTCAGCTGAGCCATGATCGGATTATCCTTCAAAGCGAAGGGTTTGCATCAAACAAACTACAATCGTTTAAAGATGTTATTCCAGATTCAAAAGCCGACTTGATGGAAGGCTTTTGGAGTCCTCACACAATCTGCAAGGTGCGGGGAATATCGTTTGCCATATTTTTGCCGATCCATGTGAAAGCTATGGCTATGGTCACTAAAATTGAAACGTCCTTGTGTGTGAAATCTTGTGAAGTGAAAGCGTAGAGTTTTGTATCCATCATGGGTGTTCATTAGAATATTCCACCAATTCGTCTTAGTTGTTCTTCATTCGTTCTCTCAATGCGCTGGTCTTGCAATTCAGCTTCCCATATTTCTAACCTTTCTCCAGAGCTGCAGACTGACTGGATGACAACTTCAGTGTGTGTCAGACATGGTCAGGTCAGCCGAACCAGGTCCTTTTGGGGTTTCTTCCTCCCCTTTGGTGCCCGTTTTTAGCGAACGCGTCCAGGCGGCCAAACGACGAGGACGCGTCTGAGGCGAATTGGATCGCCACCGCCTTCCATGCCCTGGCGGTGCCCGGTGGGATCGGGTCGCCACGGCCGGTGCAGAGGTGCGGGGAAGGGTGCGGAACGGGAGTTCGAACGGGAGAAGCTCGATCTTGTTTGCTGCTTCATTTCTTATCCCGGAGGGTGGACACTTGTTCCGCAGGGACTGGTAGTTTTAGACGTTGAGACCGTGGACCCTTATTCTTTTTGTGGTCCAGACGGATGATTATGATGTTCATGTCAGAAGGATATTCGTTGATTGGCAGCGTGCAAGGAACTTTGAATAGTGGATGTGGGAGAGAGAGATGAAGAAACCCAACTTGTGCACAGATTCTGCAAAACTCCCATGGCAGACCAAAGTTATGGCATTTGCACGTGCCATGGCACGCCTTCGAGTCTGTTTGGCGAAGAAGATGGCACTTCCACGCACAAAATCAGAGGGCGGCCCCAGAAGATGGAGATCCGGAAGATGGCCCCTGGAAGATAAGGTGGAAGATCACCAAAGTCTCAAGTTTGAAGACGATCCAAGACCAATGAGAAGATTCGTCCCCAACTTTGGTCATGTCATGTCATGTCATGTCATGTCAACTCTTGATGATATGTTCAACATTGTTCAACCCTCCGTATTGAAGAGTTTTTTCATGTTTTTTTCCCATCTAAATGTGGAAGCTTATTAATCAAGAGTCTACATTATCCCTGGACCTGACTGGACCTTAGGGTCCTTGCACAAAGTCGATCGCGCAGGGAAGATGATCGCAGCAATTGGATCACCTCTGCTTTTGCAGCATTAAGTGGTGCGGCTCGGCATGAAGTGATTTCCCCATGTCATTGGTTACTGGACCCAGATCTATGCCTTGACAGAGTTGACAGAGATCCAAATGACACCGTCTTCACCTTGAATAGCGCCCCTACAGGCTCCTTGACGTTTTGTCCCTCTCGCTCCAAACACAAAAGACTGAACAGTTCTAGTTTCGAGCGTCGTCGGCAGTAGCATCCATCAGTGCGACATGAATGAACCGTGGCCAATGGGTGTGATTTCTTTTGTGCATGTGTAAAGAGTGACTGCACCTCGTGGCAGGAGAACCTCTCTTTGTTATTCTTGGTTTAGTTGGAAGTCTTGTGTTGAGAACTCCACTTCTGTTCACTTCGGTTCCTTTTTTCTTCGCTTTTCCATGGTGACACTGATATCTGCAGGTGACACAGAGGGAGACGTTTCAAGAGGTTGACAGCTTGTTTAAGACAGGTGACAGCTTGTTTCTTCGGTTTTCGGCCGCTCCCAGGGAGCGGTGGTGAGGGTCGGGTGAGCGGCGGTGACGTGTCGAAGACCGTTTGTCGATGTTGCGTTGAGCTTTTTCAGGTGTTGTTGAATCTTTACCCTCCTGCAGATGTTCTTAAACAAGTATATATATATGTTTATATACATATTAGAAACACCTAAAGATTAAAAGCACCATAAAGCCACCCATTTACCTTCCTGCAGAATTGACGTCTGGGGTGCGGACACGGTTTCACCAGGACGATCCGTCACCGAGAAATCCGTCACCGTTCTGTTCGGATCGTTGGATCCGGCCACGAGCGATTCGCCGATGAGCAGCTCAAGTGACAAAGGCCTACCCAAAACCATGGTGGTTTTCCTGTAGCCTTCGTTGTTCTTTCCCCTGTTGAATCCTTTGAACTGTGCATGTGAGTCTCGTGGACTGGCGAACTGTCCGCTCACTCCTTTGAAGATCTTTGAAGTTATTTGTATGTTGCGGGCAGCCGCCCGGCAGTCCGACAACTCCTGTTCCAATGTAGCTGGAAATGCTTGAAGCAGCTCCGGACCACCGTTGCCTTTGTAGGTTTGGGCAAACAAACCTAAAAATCAGGGGGGAAGATCAGCAAAAAAAGACCCATTGACATCAACCGACCCCGAGCTCGCTGCCGAGCTCACGCTGCAAGCAGTTTTTGAGGCCTTGGTCTTAGAGGTGGCAGAGGCCCCGCCAGAAGGCACGGCCCAGGAATGCCCAGGGTCCACGTCATGAATTCATATGGCTCAAAAGGTAAGAAAAAACACAGGTCTAGATTTGGAAACGAGTTTGGAATTGACCACCGGTGTTGGCAAGGGGTGGTGGATGGTGGCGGCGGCATTCTTGAGTTTGAGTCAACGTGAGTGCTTCTTGTGCGTCTTTGGCATGCTTTGTTCCCTCTGTAGGATGAATTGGGATGAAGAAGTGGATGAAGTGATGAAGTTTTATCTTGCCCTAGGTGCTTTTCCAGATACACTTGGAATGATCTTCATGACGTGTTAGCATTGTATTGAAACTTGTGTGGCATGTCACACAGGTTGGATTTCCGATGCACTGGTGGCGGCCACTCGCGAAGCCGGTATGTGAGTTGAGTAGAGCCAGTGGCCAAGGGACGCGCTGCAGGTATATGTGTTTTTCGTTATCGGCGATCTGACCACTTAACCCAATATGGGATGTTGATGCTGTCACACAAGATGCTGTTGATGCTCACATGCAGAGAAGTATGTTTGGCATTGTTTTCTTATTGTCACAAGTGAAGTGTGGCATATAGTATGATATAGTCTTTGTTCTGTTCAGAACTCATTCCAAACATGTATTGCACAGAATTCATCTCGAGCCAAGCTCCGCCCAACACGCGGTTTCCTGCGTGATCTTCCGGTTCCAAGGAAGATATCCTGGATTAGTTGGTTGAATTTCCAGCAAGAAAGGTACTGGACACTGTTGACTGTTGATGGACAAAAAAGAGCATCCCTTTGCCAATTTGCTTTGTCTTTATATATAAACATAGAATTTTGCAAGTATGTAACAGTGTGTAGTATGTAATATGGAACAATAGCCGAGATCGATCTGGATGTCCACTGATTTCATTCCATTGAACAACAGAGTTCCCATGCTATTAGGGAGCATTCTTGTTAGATGCAGCTTCATGGTCCTTTGATTGTCACGTGCAATTCCAAAGCATGATAACTTATATATAACTCATCTTGGGCATGGACATCCATTTGCAAATGACGCGAGTGCAGAACGAACAGTTGATCTAAACGTATTTTGCATGAGACGGTAGCATGTGTCTGTTCTGGTGGCAAGGAGACAGGCGGACTATGAACTCTCGATCGCATGAACTGTTTGTCATTTTTCCTTGGAGCCTACTCGTATGGTCGCAGAGAGGTTTTGATCAGGTGTCTATTGCCTATGCTGCTTGCAGTTGAGATAGAGAAAGAGGGATGGAGCATGAGGTGGAGAAGTGTTTCAGACTTTCATCCTTCAACCCCCCTGATGGAAACCTCAGGTCGTGCAGCTTTTGATGTGCCGTAAGAAGCTTTTGTAGGATCGGGAACATCAATCGAGGATGCGGAGTGAGTCGAAGACAAGAGCGCTCCTGCACCACATTGCAGAAGCTGCCAGATGGACAGCTCTGGTGAGGTGGAAAGGCGTAAAAAGACGCCTTTTTACGCCTTGGATGCTGAGGCGAAAGGTGTTGGCATTGCAGACCACGGACCAGCGGGGAAAGGGGCACGATTGTATGATCCAACAGTCACAACTCTACAATTCATTTGGACTTTCTGAGAAGCATCTCCATGAAGTGGAGCCAGTTGTGCTAAGAAGCATTGTGGGCTTCAGCTGTCTGTGGCCTCAGCCTTCGCCTTGCTGCGGCAACCTCACACGTTTTCGACCAAACGCTCCGACGCGAGACGCAGACGGAGCGGACGACGCACGGAGACGCTGAAGTCGACAGCGACCACGGAGTGTCAAAAGGCTGAAGGACTTCGTGGTCGCCGGATTCGATAGTTGGCAATTGGCTAAGTGAATACATCCTGTTCAATGTGTGTGTATTTTTTTTTGGACCTCAAAAGGTACCGAATCCATGAATCCAGACTGATCTTTGTCATTTGTCAGACTTCGCAACAGAGGGAGATGATCTGTGAGGCAGGTATTCCCATGTTGACCTATTTAGCCAACGTCGAGAAGCAAAGGTCTGAATGGCAACCAGACCCTATAGAGAAAAGTTAGACTAGTTACTGGGGGATAGTCCTTCAGATCACAGGGTATTTAAAACATGTTTATGGGGTCGACCAAAATGCCACCGTTTTCTTGCCAGCAAAACCTTGGCCCTAGCTATCATCAGAATCAGAGCATGTTGTTGCTCCAAGGATTCTCCCTACAGAGGAACGGTACTTTCTCACACATCAGAGGATGTGGCTACAGGAATTTAGGGTCAAGCCTAGCGGGTGAATGTTCATCTTACGGCATTGTTTTAGCATGTTTTAACAAGGCTACCACATGTTAGAACCGAACCCTCGTTTTTAGATCCGCTTATTTCATAGCAAGACGTGGTCAAAACTTCACCGCCAAAAACAGGGCTTGCAGGTTCACGCAGGTTCATATGGCCTGGAAAAGAGGAGTGACCAGGTTGGGTTTGCAGGTTCATGGGAGAGATGCTGGACCCAGGTCTCACCGTCTCCACCTCTAAACCGCTGAGTGCTGGACGGGACGGACGGGGTGCCGGACGCGTCCGTCATCGCCCAGGCCATGCTGGGCGCTGCGCCCAGTGCTGCCAGGCAAAAGGGATTTGTCCCGGGGTCATGTCATCATATCATGATTAGACCAGGCCGATGTCATCATGTCACAACGATGTGACCAGGGCCAGGCAAGATGTTTTTCCTTTGCTGAGACCAGGAGCCATCAGGTTCTGAACGAACCGCTGCAACTGCTGGCCTTGCCCCGGTTTCTCCATTTTGTTTGCTCTTCGGGGGACTGTGGTATTACCTGCAAGAGCCCACCACAGCTGTAACAGCACAGGGTTAGGCTTCTTGGAAGGTATTGATGCGCCTCACAATCTTTCACATCCTCCTGTTTACAAGATCCAGACCGGCCTTAAGATAACCACTGCAAAGAACCGTGCCGTAGACCAAAGCGTTTCCCCTTAACCAACAATTCTACACGTAGAATCCAGTGGCACATGGGGACCGATCCAGTGAGTCTCGTGGTTTCAGAGTAGATGGCCCTCAAGATGTCTTTTAGATGGGCGTCCATACACACTGTATTATATATATTTGTGTACAGACATATAATATATACAGACGGTGTGTACAATATGTGATTATATATATATATGCAAACAAATAAACCACCAAACTTGCTGTGCCGTCGAACCTCTGAAACCACACTGGAAGCCCTTCACGCCCTTTGGTGTCACCTGCAGCCGGCCGCCAGCCCCCCCGTCCTGGAGTTCCCGGTCGACGGAGGGAGCGCCGCCTCGTGCGGCACTCAACAACGGTAGGCGTGAAATGCATGGAAACGTGGCATGGATGAAAGTTGTGGGTCGACAACTCGACAAGGACAGCAGAGTAGCAGTTGTATTATGTTGTGTTTTGTTTTTTTTTTTTTTTTTTCTCAAGGATAATGACCCATGACATGTAGAAAGAGATTGGCGATTGGTGACATTGCTACTAAAGTTTTGAGACTTGTGGCCTTCGTTTTGTTGATCAAGAACTGATCCATTGACATTTCACATCCTTTGCCCCCATCGATAGCAGTGGGGTATCCAGGTGGGTGCGGAGATTGTAGGCAGCCAAACCCAACCGTTTGGGCAACCAAGGTTGTCATTACACCGGAGTAGACCGGCGAAACGCCGGATTGATCATGCTCCATGAGGTGGTTGACCTTCGAGGGCATTGCTGTGGCCATGCTCATGGTGCGGGCCAACTGTCTTCGACCTGCCAGTTTCTTTTGCTTTTGGGTCGTCCTTTGGTCTTGTGTTGGGACGATGTGGACCTTTTTCAGCACCAACTCTTTGGAGGAAATGAGTCTTCAAAGACGCTGGGAAGCGTTGCTGCACAAGAGAATCAGATGCTTTTGATCACCCCTCCAAGGGTTGACGGCATGAGAGCACTCCTTTGAAGTCAAGAAAGGGCAAGCTTTTGGTTGAGAAATTGGCACAAAAGAGCGTCGATATTGGTTGCATTTGTTGTTGTGACACGACACGTCCAAATCAATCTGAATGTGGATAAATACAGTATCAATTGTTTTTCCAGGAAAATCAGCAAAAGAGAGCGAAAAAGGACGACCAGCAGTCCCACTGTGAGCCCTGGTGGGCCCTGTTTTGCCTCGGGTTTGCAGGTTGGCCTTGGCTATTGCGCGCTCCGCGCCATGTTGACGGGCATGCGGCAGGCGGTGGGCTGAGCCCTGGGCTGAGCGATGGGCTCATGGGGACACCCCCCAAACTGGAAGGGTTCACCAGAGGTTCACCTCGTGAAATGGTGAGATGAAAACACATCTATAATATATATATATATACTCCAGCTTTTTGGCTTTGTGGCCTCATCGAACTTCTCAACACTTTTGTTGCTTGATCTCACCTTCTTTGAAAGTGTATATACATCACGATGGTCACTCTTACTAGTCTACATCTACCTCTCTCCGGTTCTCCCTGACCCTCTTCCTTTAGCCCCTCTTCGGATCACTTAAAAAGAATTGAACCAGAAGAACAACTCTCGAACTCAACAAGCCCACGTTGCTTCCCCACCACTTGGATCGAACAAAAGAGCTCGGTGTGTCAAGCACCACATTAAATAAATAAATTATTCATCAAATATGATCCCTTCATTTTTGATATCCCCAAAGAAAAGCAATGCCTGTTTCTAGTAGCTTCTTGTTTCTGGTAGCGATGCCCGGGTTCCTAGTAACGATGGCCGCGAGCTACGCTCGTAGCTTCTTGCTACTAGTAGTAATGCCCTGGCAACACGTCAGTAGTTTTCCCGGTGCTTTCGGTGCTTCAGACGTCCTTCTGGAGGTCACGTGCATCGATCCTCCTCATCTTCGAAAAGAGTGAGCGCAGCGCAGCAGCGCAGCCCAGCGCCCGGCTGGTCAGCCCGGGTGGTCGCCAGCGGCCACAAAAGGGGAATCCAAGTGAGCCGGCCAGGTGGCGGAGTTGGAAGTGTTGGAAGGAAGTCATGTGGCGGTGATTTCCCAAGTATATAAGTCGATCATTGGAAGATGAAGACACTTTGATATGATGATATCAGATAATAAAAGTAATTTGCGTAAACAGTTGCAATCAAACTTGTGCAGGAGTTTTCGAAACACGTTCCTTTGAGATCGAATGGTGGTCAACCTTTCAAACATGTAGGATGAGATGAGGCTGCCAGATAGTAGGGCTCAAGTTAGGGCTCATTATTTGTGGCAAAGTGGATTTGTTCAGATGAAAACCCATGCAGTTGAAGTCCGTTCTGTGATCTATAGTCGTGTCAGTGTGACTATTTTTGACTGTTGGAGAAATGTGTTTGCATGTGTCTCCATCCTGCACTTGAGGGTATTTGGATTGACGCCTGGCAGCTGATCCTGCCGATGAAAGCTCATGGGATGAAGTGTGATGAAGTGTGTGATCACATGCGATCACTTGCTTCAAGAATCCGGACTTTTGAGAACTGTCACAAACTCAAAGCTTTGTTCGAGGGAGGATCTGGGGGGCTCAGATCTCGTGGATCGATGTGAACGCATCACATCCTTTGACCTAGCTCGAGCACTCACAAGTGCATTTCTGCAGCCAGGAAGCTCTAAACTGTGGAGCCGAGTGATGTTTATTGACCTTTAAGCAGTTCAAAGGACGCTTTCTGGGTTTCTAATCATTTCTGGGTTCATTGCTGCGTATCAAGGCCCCAAAAGGCAGCTCGGGTATCTAACCCCAACACCTTTGTCACGCCATTTTCTTCACCCTGCCTATGTCGCTGCCTCACGTGCTTCAGCCCCTTGAAGCAACCGGGTTTATTGGGGGCCGCCCGGCGGCTACGGCTTTTTCCATGGCTACGGCGACATGGCTTGTTGGTGTTGATCCACCAAGCTGAGAGGCTCAGTTCTAGGACTAGGGAACCTGAGAGCGCTGAGCGCTTCGTCTCAGAGCCACATGGCTCGGCTCACTCGTTGCAGTTACGTTACTCAATGAGGGATTTATTTCTCGTCATTTTCTGGGTACACTGGTCCTGATGGGTGGAAAACCCCACTTCACGACTGAGGTTTTTCTGCGTTGCCGTGGCGTTGGCCCAGCAACCCACGAAAGATTGGTGCAAAGATGGCATCAAAGTGCCAAGCTTCAGTGAGGATGATGGCAACGTCAGTGTGGCTTGGACACGAAATGATGAAGACGGTGGAGATTGTTCTATCATTATTTCGTAGCCCCCGGGCTTCCCTTGAAAAAGGCCAGAAAACATCTACTGGATGTAACCCCTTGATTGGAGTCCTCCACGTTTTGAGACAGAAACCCAGCAGCTGAGCAGTGTGTTTTTTGTGGGGCGGGGCTGGTTGGTGTTTTGAAGAGTTGCCCGAATCCCTGTGCACGGTGGCCCTGGAGGGGTCTCAATGTAGAAGCTGTAGAAGACATGAATTTTGATGACTTGGACCGGGTGAACTCCAGGAGTTTATACCCAAACAATTCCAAACTAACAAACGTTAATATTGGGGGGGTCGGACAAGGCCATTGTGGCTTTGTTGTACTGCTTCCGAAGCGCAGCTTGGCCCTCAAGAGAGGAGAGCAAGTACAAGGCCCATGGCCTGCCCATGGGCCAGCCGTAGCAATCCCCTCCAAAACAAGGGCTTTTCGTGTTCTTTTTTGTGTTTTTCAGAGGGTCCCACGAAGACGATTGAAGCCTGAGTCTTTTCGAAGCAGTGCTGCAGTACTGTGTAGCCGTTCAAAGGGCAGCCAAGCTAGAGCATAGGCCATAAAATCATATAAACTCTGTACTTCCAACAGCTAGGGCTGTAGGACACGCAGTAGGTGAAGAGCGTGGAGAGACGACGTGTTTCATGCAGTTTTCCATGCTCAGCTCTCGAGTGGATCCACCGGTCTCGGATCGACGCCACAACCACACAGGTGAAGTTCCGGGTGGCACAAGCGCCACTCTTCTCGACCAATCCACACATCGGTACGAAGCTGCGGTGGCTGAACTTGTACCACACGGCGTTGGTGGTGGTTCAACACTTGCCAGGCACGCTCATGTGGCAGACACATGCAATCACATGCATAGAGTCATACGGTCATACGTATATATAGTGTTCTACATATATATATAGAGAGAGAGATAGGACATACTTCTGCAAGCAGATCTTGAAGCATGGTGCAAGAAAGACCCAAAAGAAGAAAACAGAGCTGCAGAGGCTCGGACATGCTTCCAGGGAGGGCAAATAATGCTGTCCCTCGTGTAGAAGACTTGGTTCTAAGAGTTGGATAGGTGTCTTAGACTTCCTGGGTGAGCTTGACTGAACAAGGACTGTTGCTTTGACGAACTCGGAAAATGCCCGGTGCTTTTCTTCCTATCTCCTAGGACGACTGGAACATCCATGTATAGGTGTGGTATGTCATGGCTGTATCAGTGTATGATGTATTTTTGCCAGCATCGCCCCTAACAAAAAAAGATGAGAAAGGAAAAATCATGCATCGAAGACCATGTAATGCTGCAAAACAAACCCGTCGTGTACTTCAGCTCATGATCCACTTCAGCTCATCCGGAATTCTCGACTCCTCGACCGAGCCGCCGCGTACGAGTCGTCCCGGTCGAGGCCTGGCGCCGAAGAATTGGACGATCGAATTCGACTCGGCACCTGGGCGGAGGATTTACCGACCTCCGGGGCGCGGCGCCCGGGAGGTCGGATAAAACAGCGAGTTCACATGGACGTTGTGGGAGGGCCGGGATGGTTTGGCCCATGTTTGCATTGTTTGCGGTCAGATGCGGTCAGCATATTCTGGATATGGTTATGGCCCCAATGTGTGTGTGAGACTTGGGGTTCAGCTCTACGTCGCCTTATCTTCAGAACAAGAACAGAAAGGAAAGATGATGAACCTTTTTGTTTCTTTTTTCCCGTCCATCTCGTCTCTAAAATAAGAGCTCAACGCGGCCAGACCAGTGTAGCTTTCTCCTCCAGGTGACCAACGTCCTGGGAGCGGTATTGCCAAGCATCAACGGGAGCACGTTGAGCTGGAACAACGACTCTCGGACAAGACGCAACGACTTCTTGAATGAATACATGATCCTATACTGCTCTTGAAAGTCATGACCTAAAGCCCAAGTGTATTGAAACATTGCACATGGAGTAACACTTACTTGTGATGTTGTTTTTCCGCGTACTTCACTAAAGTCACTAAACCAATCTAAATCGTGCACAAAACAGGAAGCACACATCGTTTGGCATGCCCTGAAACTTGCATATCATTAGTGCCCCAAGCATTGAATTCACTTCGGATTGTCTTTGGGGAGTTCCAGTCAGTAGAGTTTGTTCATGAGCTCATGCCATCTCATGTCCTCCTTCACATGGGAACAATTTGGAACTCAGGAACCGTGGGTGCACCCTAGCAAATCAGTTTACACTTGGTCAAAATAACACTTTGCCACAATCAGAGGACCACTTTGCAGTTTTCGATTGCAAACCAAGGACGCGCGATATTGTGTCACTGAGGGCATTTTGTGGGGTGAGGCCGAAGAGAACCGGCTTTCAAATGTGCCGTTTGTTCCTCAGGGCTCAGCTTGCTCAGCTTGCTGGCTGTGCTCATCTTTCGGATTGGGGTCTCCTTGTCTTGGGAAACAACATTAAACAATCATCTCTTCTTCTAACTGGACTCGTACGGAATAAGGATAGTTTCCCTCCCACTAGGGATTCCTGTTTTTTCGGATCCAGCCAAAATTCAGCCACCGACTCGTCGAACCATCCGATCGCACCTTCAACTTTGGGTCTTTGGTTGCTCGGTGGGCTCTTCGGTCTTTGGTTGGCAGGCTCATTGGAGCCAAATGCATCCTGGCGGCAGTCCGACCACTCGCACCCAACGACCGGTCGCACCCACGTCCGACCGGTCGGTCGCACATGTCGCAATCGACCTACTGCACCATGTCGAGACTCCAAATAAATGGGTCGATTGATGTAGATGGGCCATCTGCTGGTATCAGGACCGCATTTATTTGAACAGATGAAACCAAACAAAGTTGTATTTTATCGGAAAACAAAAGGTGATGGCCAGTGACGCCCCCGATCGAACAGAGAACCCCTTGGTGGAGGAACAACTCTTTGATGTCGTGAAACTGTCATCAACTATCTAATGTTCAATCACACATCCCTTATTAAACCATCCTAATGTGATGAGGGTTGTTAGATTTTATGTCATCTGCCGTCCTCCTTGTCCTCGTCCTCCTCGTCCTCCGCCTCCTCCTCGCAGTGTTCGTCGCCGGACCTTTACCGCCAGCTCCGGACGGCAGTGTTCCCCGCCGGCCCTCAATCGCCAACTCCGGATGGCAGTGTTCCCCGCCAGACCTCAACCGCGAGTCAGAAGATGTGCCAGATAGAATGTCAGCATGCCGGAAATAATGTCAGAAAGAATGTCAGATGAAAGAATGTCAGAAGATATGCCAAAAAAAAATGTTGGAAAGAATGTCAGATCTCAGAAGATATGCCGGAAATAATGTCAGAAATAGTGTTTGAATACATGCCATCAATTTTTCAGATTGAAATGTCATGGTGGGGATCACTCGAAGTAAAATATCTGTTTAAAACTCTTCTTTCCGGAGTGGCTTCTTCTGATGGCATGTGGAAACCGACTGCCACAGATCCCACGCCACATCACGGGTGTAAGCGGAAGACCGAGGCTCGACACGGTGCTGCGACTCAACGCCTCATCAGCTCGACGGATCTTCACGGACTTCATCCCGGCAGTGACTGATCTATTGATATTTTTTGGACGTATTCGGCCAAGTCTGCTAAGTCACCTGAAAAAGGATGTGGTGTGTGTTGTTATGTTTTAATACTGTGAACTTCTTAGGCTGTCACCAAACTTTGTACATCCATAGGTCATAGGATGCATTCTGATGCACCGCCAGGTCTACATTCCGTGTTCGGCTTACACTCCACACTTTCTGTTTGCCAAATGAAAAATGCTGTTTACTGAAGTGTTTTTTTGTTGGAAGGGTACTTTTATAGTTGGGCACGCTAATCAAGATGAATCAATCGCCTATTCTAGCCGGTCCTATTCTAGCCGGTTTCATTCACGGTTTCTCCCTTTTGATCTGTGAGTTCAGAAAGTCTACTGCCACCTACCATCGGGTGGATGGACATTTCTCAGATTGGCACAGGTGAATGACACTGCACACCAGAGCAAGCCCCTCTACCAGCTGTGGCGTGTTGAGACTCGTGGGGTAGAAACCTCACCTTTAGTGAAGGACAGGGAGATGGGAGACGATGGGAGGGTGGAAGAAGGTAGGACGGACAGTCATGAGGTTGATGGAAACACCAAGGGGCCTGAACAACCTTTAACATTCGCAGACAATCCGCACAGACGGAGAAACAGTTTTGACGCCTTGAGGCAAGACATTCCTTGGCCTGGTGGCCTGCCCAATATGAATGATTGTGGTTCTTCCTTTTCAAATCCACCAAATAACTGGAATCCACAGGGTCAAAAGAGTGACTATTCCTTTTTGCGGATCAAAATCGATGTCAGGACATCACTTGTGGAGATGGCGTGAGCTGCTTGGTGGAACGGTCTTTGAGGAGCTTCGGCTTTCAGGATCAGGAGAGAAGAAGTCACCCTGTTTGGAACCTACAGCAAAATTTGCATGTACCGGGTATAGTACCGTGTATATATGATATGATAAATTATGAACTATACACATATGTGGATGGGTTCCCTTTGCACAACCATCAGTGGCATATGTGTCCCCAAGAACTGAGAAGGAATTCTGCTACCTGGAATCCCCAATCTATTGGGACAACGCTGTGGAGTTCCCCTGCCCGGATGGTTTATTCCCTCAGTAGACCGTGAGTAGTTGAGAGAAAGCTCTGTAGCAGGACGCACATGTTCAAACCCTTTTTCCTACATGTGGGTCCACTTCAAGTGATACATGGCAGAAATCTGCTTGTTTACAGGGCTTCATTTGTCGGATAGCTCGGACGTAGCTTTCTTCCAACAGAGAATCAGGGCGTCCATTGGGTTCTGATAGTGGCCCTGCTGGGATAGAGACGTAGCTTTCTTTCTTCTTCCACCAAGCCTGTATCCTGATGGGTGGGGGGGTGGCATGTCGCCGCTGAGACTGGATCCTGGACTTCTCCTCCCGTGTCCTGCTGACCCCACCACTTTTCGAGCTAAAATACACCTCCATTGTGGTTTATGCCGACAGGACCGCTGGCCTTGCACTTTAAGACGAGAGAGAGAGAGAGAGGAGTGTCCGGCGCCCATGGCGCCTGGAAGGAAAACGAGGCATAGACTCTTTTTCAGTCCTGCTTGATCATGTGTCTAGGTAATATGTTTCTTCACGAAACGCCTGAGCCAGGGAAACAGACACATATTATACATGCATCTTCTCCAGATGATGTGTGCTCAGAAGAAGTCAGGTTTCCAAGGCTTCCAAGGGTCCGTTGGGCTGCTCATCAACACTGGGAAGAGCAAAACGTGTCGTGCGGCGAGGATTTCCAAGATTCCGGTGAATGGCAAAGATTGGCCTGATTTGATCCAGTATTTCCAGGGAAACTTGGCGTTCCATTTGGATCTTTTTACTTTTTGGTGTGAAACCTTTTTGGACGGGACGAAGCCCCTTTGCCGGTTTCGGATGGTTTCGGGTGTTCGTCGCTCAGAAAGATGTTACAGTATAGGAGCAGCAAGTGTGATTTGTTTGAGGCAGTTCTGTCCAAGTCAGACCAACTCGGCTCACGACTTGACGACCTGGAGCCATCATGAAAACAGCTGATGGATTGAAAACAGCATTCAACAGAAGCTTTTGAACATTTTAGAACGGTTTTCGGCTGCTCAACACACAAGTTTTGAGATGCTGAGGAATGTCAGAAGTGACTGGTGGCAAAGAAGCAGTGTGGCATAGACTCCTAGAATTCCTACACCTAATGCCTGTTCACTATGTCTACGACAGCAATGCAAAGGCGGGTAGGAGAGCTTCATTGGGAGAAAGAGGAATCCTTGGAATCTATGGGGTTGCAAAGTATTGGCAATGCCAGGGTCAGTCGATTCCTGGGATGTTTTATGATTCAACAAGCGCTCTTCTCTCATGACCTCCTCCTCCCATTGGCAAGGCCTACTACAAAGTGGAGGGCAACCATTTTCCATGGCTCGCTGCTTGGTGCAGAGGGGGTTTCCTCAGCAGCCAAGTGCAGAAACTTTGCCCTCCAAAGTCTCAGTGCCACCTGAGATACCAGGACACCATCAAGACCATCTCCAGCATTTGAGTCTTCATGGGTCCCAGTCCCAGAGTAAAAAGCATCCGATCTGCTTTGCATTTCTGACGTGGACCCACGTCAAGGGACTTGAACTCCCACGTCAAGCCCCCCGAAAAAGGCCGTTCTTGGAGTCAATCAAGATCTACAAACTGGTTGAAGAAGCATCGAAATTAGGCGAGGTCCTCGTAGTGATTTACTGAATTCGTGTGAGTAGTGATCTTCCTGTAAAGCCTTTTGCAGCTGAGGAATCGAAATACCATGCTGTGCCTTTGGAAGGCCCACCAAAGCACCTCAAGCTTATTTAGCAAACCGTTCGACGCAAACGTTGTAGAGTTCACCTTGAACACAAACTAGGATGATGAAATCTTGTTTGGAAATTTGATGCAGCCACATACTGCTCAAAATCTTCGGATGCCGACTGGTTGAGTCAACAACTTGAGCTCTTGCTTTTCTTGCATCAATTTCCAACAATGACGTGTTTATATATATATATATTTGTATATATGTGCCATTAAAGTTATATTTTAACATAATACAATAGATAATTTAGCGTCCACCTCCTTCAACTATCAATTTTCTTGATTGCTTAATGTGTTGTTTGAATTGCTTAAGGCTGGGAAATCATACGAATGAAATACTATTTGTTTAACGACCACTTGGGTCGAAATCAAAAATTGAATCGAATATATTAAATATATTAATCAATATAATAAATAATTAATATATTTTATTATATTATTGATTTATACTTAAACATAATTGTAATTTATATATTGTAATATAGCTTTTTAGGGGTATTTTGAATTTGTTTTGCGAAATAAATATGGAATGTTTAAATTGAATTAATAAATTAAATTATTGTGTTTTTGGAAATTATATTTTAATTTAGTTTTTTGTTTTGTTTTTTTCTTTGAATTGATATTTTAATTTAGTTATTTTTTTGTATTTTATATTTTTTTTGATTATTTTATTCCGTCAGCGGTCATTTCAGAGATCGGAAGAGCGTCGTGTCCGCTGTTTTATTTCGTTATTG